TGTATGGCCGTTTCGTGTCACGTCTAGACCGGCATTCCATTGAAAATTTACTGGGACATTGTTTTGCTTTTTTTTTTTTTTTCTCTGCCCCTCATCCTGTCTATTTTTCTGTCAATTTTCTTTATAGCATTCTTTCTAGTTGATGGCCTCGAGGGCTCCTCTTCTGTAGCCGATCTTTATTTCCCAGTGTTTCGCTTTAAGTCAACGTGTTTGCTTTGATGGAACACTATAGAAGGCAGGCCATTGATAAAGGTATAATACAGTAGAGGATATAAAGGAAGAGGAGGGGGGCGATGGAGGGAAAGAGAAACAGATGAGTAAAAGAAAGTGTTTTAAGACAGGGGAGACACTGGAGTGGAACAGAAACAGATGGAAAGTTTAAAACGAGGGGAGAGCTCTGCGGTCCTGTGCGTTGATTTAAGCTGCCTGCCTGACTTGTCAGCACAGAAACAACTGGTGAACAGACTGACGGAGTCGAGGAGAGCAGATGTGTCCCTGCTGGTGATGGATTGATGGATGGATTTTTTTATTTTTATTTCAGTTAAATTTTTTTTGATGAATTTCCTGCCAGAGCTGGACTGCTTTTCTTCATGAGTTATTCTCAGCCGAGCATCTGGTTTTAGGCCCTGAGATAATTAAATAAGATCAATTCTGCTCTATAACTGAGATCATCTCTCTTCCCTCTCTGCAGAGATCAGAATGCAAGTTCTTAGTTAATGTTCTTCATTGTTACAGTATGTCGTGAATGTATCGTCATCACAATGTCGATGTGAGCAATATTTACACAGCAACAATTGTTGGCTGAATTACCCCAAGCCATATGAAATTCAGCGTTTTTTTATGCTAATGTAATATTTGGCCAGGTGGACAGTCTCACACCGAACACTATTGACATGGCTCAAAATGGTAAACGTCCATCGGTGATGAAGGCATGAATGAAAATGAGAGGAAAGAAATAAAGAATTGCCTCTTATTATGTTTGCCGTGATTCTTAGAAACCAACCTGACGCTCACACGCTCCCTCAGATTCACTGTAGGAGTTAACAAAACCATAATTAGTCTCAGATTCACATCTTCAGCTTGCCTCCAGACAGATTGTGCACAGACCCACTCAGTGCCTCTGTTAGGGTTTCACCAGTTCTGCATCTAGTGTCACATGCTAAAACAAAAATGTGTTTTTAATTGAAAAATGATCTTGTACATTCCTTCCAGAACTGAGTTTTTTTTTTTGTTCACAAACTGAAGCAGAGGGTATTCTTTTGTTTGAAAAGTTTAGTTTCAAGATGAGTTCTTATTTTAAAATACCGATTTAGTCACAGGAAGTGTTATTTTAATGTACGTGAAGGTTTATGCTGCTTGCATCTTTACTATTGTTATCTGCAGTATATTCAGGGTGTTATTTTTTTAAATATTTTTTTTTAAAATAAAACAAACGTACACACATCTAACTTTGCAATCAGTGATAAGTATGCTTATATGCTATATAAATAATTTTAGGGTTGATTATCTGCTCTCATGTCCTGTAAACTCAAGTGCATGTTTAATTGTGAACATTGCATTGGCTTTACCCATTGTTTTCTTCAGTTTTTGTTTTTCTGACTTGTATAATTTTTCTTCTCACTTTACGTTAGAACATTTTTTTTAAGTTGAACTCAGTTAAACGTCTCTGCTCTGCTTTAAATTATATGTTAACACATTTACACTACACACCAGAGCAAGACAGGCTAATGGATTTGTTTAACTTGACTTATAAGCACTTGTTATTGAATCTTAATGATGGTACTAAAGTCTCTGTTTATTGCTTTCCATCTCAGCGTGAGTCGTTTCCTAATCTGCCTCTTCCTCCTTTCCCTCCTCATGACGACTTCTCTACTTTCCTTTCCTCTTTGTAATGTTCTCCTTTCTTAACACTTGTTGGGTGGTCAGATAAAATAAAAAAAATGTTGCTGCAAAACAATGAAATTCAGTAACTATTAACCTCCTGTTTATCTTTGGTCTGATCTTAGAAGAGCAACAACGCTCTATTTATTTGACTTGGAAACCATAAGTGGTCAAACAAATCCATGTTTACTGTCTTCTTGTTCACGGTTCTCTTGGAGAAATTTCTTTTAACCACAATTAAATATCAAACAGCAGAGCCTGAAGCTACAGTCAGGGTAAATGGAAATGGCCTGTTCTTGCATAGCGCTTTAAACCGCAGTCGGTCTTTCACCCTTTCATACACACGTCCACACACTGGTGATGCTAAGCTACATTGTAGCCTCAGTTGCCCTGGGACAGAGTGACACTGAACTGAAAACTGCATCTACCTTCTGTTTTTTGTATTTATTGTCTAAAGGTTTGTAACAGGTTCTAAAATTGTTTAATTCGAAACTCAACAATGCAAAATCACAGTTAGATTGAACCAGGTATAAAATATTACAAGTTTGCCTTGTATGGCTATAACTGAAAAAAAAAAAAAACCCTAGATATTTAAAGTAAAAAATAAGATAATTAAAATATTTTTTTCTTTAAAACCCTTAAATTTAAAGGGATCCACTTTCTTTGTGCAATGTACTGCTGTTGACAGCTGACACTCGGCGTAATGGCTGCACTGAATAGTCGTCTGCCTCCAGTGAAAATGAGGCACTAGCTGACAGCTGTGCTGTCTGGGTGTCCCACTGTTGCGTGAAATAGAAATTACTGATGTTCTGCTGCAATCTGGTAATCTAAGAGACTCGTGTTAAAATGATTATAAGGCAATTCTTTGTTATATTCGGTAGAAGTGGTAAAAAAATATATACAATTTCATGTTTTTCCCCCGTCAAACTGCTAAAGCACATTTCCTGTTTCTTGATGATGCTTTAAATAATACAGCTCTGCAAAAATAGTGAAGTGAAACTGCCCTGTGGTTCCTAGAAACAGGAACTTGTTAGGGCATGTGTTAAAACTTCTCGACTGCGGATCCGTTTGTGCACTGATTACATTTAGACGGGAAATTATCCCGAATGATTTAGAGCATGGAGAACATATAACGATTACAGGTGTGGATGGTATTTTATAATCTAACTTTACATTCAGTTTCATTCATGACCACCAATTTTCTTTAGAGAATGTCTGAGGTCTTTGCAGAGCAGCTGGACTCTTATGACTATCCAGCTTAGTGCACTGTGTTTTATTTCGGGGTAATGTAGTGAGGGGGCTAGTAAGCAGTCATGCACACACCACACTTTCCAAACTTTTACGTGTAAAAATAATAAATTAAAATCAACACATGCATCTAATTTCTCCCACTTGATAATTAAGTGCTAACTTGAGTCTATCACATGAAATCCCATCAATATACATTAAAATTTGTAGTAGTAACATGACAAAATGCAAGAAATTTCAGGTGGTGTCAATAATTTAGCTAATAATGCATGTTGTCGAAATCACAAAGAGCTTTTTTTTTTTTACATAGGAATTATATTTCGAAGTACATTTTTTTTTTTTTGCTTAACTCGAGCTTTTGCAAATTTTTGAAGGCTGATGGGAAATGTTGCACTCTGCCGCACTGAGCGGCAAACCTTGACAAGAGACGATCAGACTGACTGCTTGATGTTGATGTGAAAGGTCGCATTCAGTCACATATCTGAGCAGAGACTGAACAAAGTGAAGGATGGCTCCCAAACCCATGCTGTGGTTCCATTTTTGTCTGAAGCTGTCTTCTCTCAGTGAGCTTTGTTTTGTAGATTCGATCATCTGAGTAACACAATATACACATTTTAAGGACTTCACTGGTTTACACAAAGCCCTCAAGAGTTTTTATCACCAAGACCAGACTCGCTACATTTTGCAGATGTGCATTGAGCCGTGCAGGCCACTTGCTCTGTAAATGTTTACAAAAATGATACACATCTTTTTGTAGCAATTCACATTTAGTACTGCACTCATGTTGTCTGCAGCCGTGTGTCAAACGTGGGCTGGGAGCCAACTGTAATGAACTCCAAGAGTTCAGGAGTGTCTCCCTGGCCTAGAATAAACACAGACGGGGGTAAAAACAGTTTAAGTTTTGAGGCTCCTCCTCTGTGTATTTTTATAAAACCATAAAGAACAGTATGCAGAGGAGTGCATAAGTCAGCCATTATTCCTTTGCAGCCTTCAGATTGGCCTCGCTCCCAAAGAAATCTCCAGCAATGTTCTTTTTTTTTTTTTTTCTCTTTCCTCTTATCCGTCTCAATCTTCTGAGTCTGTCGCTCTCCTGTTGCGTGGTGTTATTACTATGGTGTTCTGTTTAACATACCTTTTTTTTTTTTTTTATTCCGACCATTTAAGTAAATAATACACATACAATTGCTGTTAGAAAAGCCTAACCTTGTAGAGCCCTTCAACGGTGAATACTTGAAAATTTGTTTTTGTAGTTAGTTGATCCAAAGATTCTATCATCTGCTGCAGTTTTTCACTTTGAATTTGAATTCCCTCCAGACTGATACGGGAGGTGCTTATTTATCATCAGTATTCATACTCCAAATATTGAGATTCTGACCCACAAAATACATGTGCTAGTGATCTTGCCTGTCACTCGTGATGTATTGAAGCTCTGCTAAAAAGCCAAACAGACCGAGAGGATGAGGAAGTTGTGCCAACACCAATAACTTCAACAGTTCTTGTCCTATTTTCATCTGTCTATGCCTGTCATTTTGTATCTCCTTGCAGAGTTTTGTAAAAAAAAAATTGTGCTAACATAATTTAATTTTTAACTTCGATTTATGCAGATATCATTCCATAGCCCACTGTTGGAGTTCCTCTCAAGGGGTCTTGACCTTGGCCCAGTCCTTTCTCAGTAGCAAACCTTCACTTTTCACTACAAGAGGCACTCATTGAAACCAACAATTAAATATAAGCACTGTCTCTCAAATGCCCGGTATTTGACCCCCTTTTTTATTTAAATGACACAGAGAATTTGAAGAATACTTTCGTTTTTGTTAAATATTTTAAAGAACAAAAGAATTTACGAGTATTTGTTTGTTTCATTGCTGCAGGTGACCTACCTGGGCAAGATGACAATCTCCGGGACCCAGTTCCTGTCAGGCTGCACGGAGTCGGCGGTAGTGAGTCTGGTGGAACGTCGTGCCTTGGACCAACAGCAGGGCACCAGTCCCTCGAGCAACTCCCTGCTGGAAATCCGCCCCTTCCAGGTGCGCCTCCACCACCTGGATGAGCGCGGCGAAGTCTCTGTAACCGTGGACGCCTACCAGGTGGCGCGCATCGCTTACTGCACCGCCGACCACAGTGTAAGACCCAACATATTTGCGTGGATCTACCGGGAGATCAACGACGACCTGTCCTTCCAGATGGATTGTCACGCCGTGGAGTGCGAGAGCAAACTGGAGGCCAAGAAGCTGGCGCACTCCATGATGGAGGCCTTCCGAAAGACTTTCCAAAGTATGAGCAGCGACGGGCGCATTCACAAGAGCGGCTCAACAGACGACTTTGCGGAAGACTCGTCCACGCCTGACGACTTAACCCCAGATGACGGCTGAAGTCGAAGGCGCTTACGTTCTTGATTTCTGTTCTGACAAATTGAGGGGGTGACTGGATGGACAGAATAACTGCTCTTATTCGTTTCCCCTGTCGTCCCCTTTTTATTTCAAATTTGGTTAAAAAAAATATATATATATATATATCTCCACTGTATGAACCAACATGCCCAGGATGATGAAGTAGCCTATAAATTGAGTGAAGGAAAGGCAGATGAAACGGTTTAAATAAAGACCTTACAGACATTAAAGTACTCTATGACCCTCATGAGGGTTTGAAGGCCTACAAAAATGCTACTCATCATTTCTTGTTCAGCTTCTGTTATTCTGCACCTCTCAAAGCCTGTCTGTGGTGCATTTTTTTTTTTTTTTTACCACAACACAAAGCAATTTTTTTTACCCAATGCCATACTAACCTTTTTGTTCTTCTTGCCATGTAGGGACCAAACCAGAGTAGATAGGTGGCCTATTTTAGGTTCACACTCAGAGTTTAGAGCCGGCGATGATTCTTTAGCTGTTTCTCTTTTGAAATATTTTTGCCTTCGTAACAGCAAATGCTGATGAGGAGAGGGAGGGCGGGGGGGCGTTCACTAATGTTACCTTTTGTGATCCCCAAAAAGTGGTCACTTAGCTTGAATGAGAGAGCGACAACGTGTGTCTCTGTTTTATTGGTACTGAAAGATACAGAGTGTCTGTAAGACATAATGAGAAATAGATTATATTTTAGAAGTTCTCACTGGACTAGAAGCCTGGGCCGGTCTGAGACACCTTAATCGTCTACATCTGACGTTTGTTTTATGTAAACCAAAATCCAGGCTACATTTTGCCTGTCAGATTATGTGCCTCACTTTCCTGTCTTGTCTCAGTGGCGTGTGTGCTTTTTATGTTTTTCTTTGTATGTACAGTAGGTGTCGATGCTTACTTTTCCTCTGTATGTATATGCATGAAAATGCAAGCTTCTGGGTGCGAGAGAGTAGAAAGACACGAGGAGTAAGTGTATGAAACGGTGGGGATCGTGTTTTTTTTTTTTTTATGTTTGAAGAAGTTTCTCAAAATCAGACATGGTACTGTGACCATTTGCTACATTTCTCTCTTTTAAAAAAAAATCGTTATCATACACTATCCAAGCAAAACCATGAGTCAGAGCGGGCCAGTCGCCGACGTGGTCGGACCCTGAACCGCAGTCGTCCGAGTGAACAGCTCACACCTCCTGGCCGCTGCTGAATGTATGAGTCCATCGTACTGTGAGCACGTCATATCATGCCCAGTCACTCCAGGCTCCACAAACCGCCTCGCGTTATCACGACATCTTGAAGGGAGCGACTGTAAGTGGGGTGTATGTCTCTGCTGCTCTGCAACTCCGCTCCCGGACCGAGGCACTTTCTTCTCTGACAGCACTTCACTGAGCCGACTGAACACCGTCGAGTCACGTGGCTCCAATCAGCACATGCAGAGCCTTGTGAAAGTATTATTGTCCCTTGTAGTTTTTCCTCCTATTGTCACTTAAACAGAAATGTTTGTGTATTTCATTGGAGTTTTATTAATGATGGACCTTAATAAAGTAGTGCATATTTGTGAGCGTGAAGTAAAAGGATGCGTTTTTTTCCTTCTAAATATCTCAATAGTGAAACATGCATTTTTATTCGGATCCCATAAGTTAATACTTTGGGTAACCGTACAATAACGTGTCCTCTTTTTAATGTGGGCAAATAAGTTTTCATTTTAATTTTCCTCCACATGCTGGAATTGCTAATGGTAATTTTCAAATTTGACTTTGTTTGGGTGTCCATCAACAATTTAGTTGTTTTGCCATTCTTCCTTAAAGGTCAGATCGGTCGGATGGACGTCTAATAGTTCTGTTAACAGAAAGGCCTGAGCAGTTGCTTTCTGCAGCTCCTCCAGTGTCATCATGGGTGTTTTGGCTCTTAATGAAGCTCTCCTTGCATGCGTGTGACGTGGATGACTATGGGGTTGTGCCTAGACGTTAAGATATTGTTTTGCAAATGAACTCTGCTTTAAACTTCTCTGCAGCTTCCTCCCTGCCGTGTCTGTCGTCTTCCTTTGTCTTTATGATGCCGTTTGTTCACTAATGTTCTCAAACAAACCTCTGGGGCCTTCACAGAACAGCTGTATTTATATCGAGATTTAATTGCACGTCTTGGACTCAAACTACTAATTAGAGGACTTCTGAAGGTGGTTTTCTTGCAAATTGTGAATTTTATTTAGCGGCAGCGTTGAACTAAAGAGAGCAAAACAACTGCATGCCCTGCTGGTTTTTTTTTTTTTTGCCCCAAAATAAATAAATTGAAAACTGTCAATTTTCCTCTTCTTCACTAATATGCCCTTCTTTATGTTGGACTGTAAAAAAAACAAAAAAAAACAACAACAAAAAAACATGTTGAAATTAGTGTTTCACAAAATGTAAAATTCAAGGCATTTTAATACTTTTGGAAGTTACTGTACAAATACAATCCTAGATACAAGAATACATACTGTATGTACACAAAATGTATTTGAAACTTGTTCAATAAGCTTATGTAAATACAAATGTATCACTTTCCAAATATTACAACATAAATGGTGATAGCTATTTTAAATAAAAAAAACATATTGAGAACCTTTATATGCTGAAATAGTGTAATTAAGCTGAACTGTGAAGAAGAAGAGACTGTGTTGGATGGAAGTGTGTGTGTGTGTGTGTTTGAACTGAATGTGTTGGGAAATGTGTAAGAAGAGGTTGTAAAGTGAGGGAAATGATTGCAAAGCTTTAGTTCACTGGGCCCGTCTCTGCCTTACAGCTCAGACACGCTTCAAATGTTGAGAGAAAAAAAAAAATGTTACCATAACTGTTTTCTATATGGTGTGTGTGCGTGTGTGCGCAAAGATCAAAACAGTTACATATAAAGCATTTACCAAGATCTCAAGACGGTGTGGTCTGTTTTGTCTCCACATCACAGTCCTCTCTCTTCATTTATTCCCAAAGCTAAATCAGATCTGGCCTAAAAGAGGTTCTTTTTTTTTTTATTATTCTGTAAACTCTGCTGGATTTGAACTGAATGGATTCCCTGCTGCGGCATCATGTGGGAGGATAAACACCAGGCATTCTCAGCTTCAGAATGAGCAGGATGGCTCAGACACATGATGTTCTGACAAGGTGCCAGCACAGATGTAAAGCATAACCTCACTGTCTGCTTGTCCACATTTTCCTGGGCTTTGGTCAAGTTGTAAAGTTGTTGTTTTTTTTTGTTTGCTCTAGTAAATGAGACGTATCCTTTAGCTCCACAACCAAACTACGACATGGATTTAGTGTCTCCCACTTCTGGTACTGTGATTGTTTTTTTTTTGTTGTCTTTTTTTTTACTGCGTGTGTTCACACACTGCCAAGAACAAACTCACGAGCATGATGGCATTTCCAAATGTTTCGGTTTTGTTTTACTGCCATCATTCCTCGCATTCCTTCTCAAGCAGTTCCTTTTATTTGTGTTCCTGTAGTCTCCCTCTGCTTTCTCCTTAAAGTGCCCACATCAGTAACAAGATAACCGAGTCCCTTCTGCTTGTGTAGCAGGCAATCATTTTGCAGCATAAGAGCTGCAAAGAATTAGATGCAAAATGGATGCTGAGAAGGATGCTAATGGGCCATGAAAGAGAACACTGCCCCCCTCTGGCAAGTACAGATACTACCTCTGCTTTTTAAGTTTTCTTTTTAGAAAACTTAATTTTCTTAAACAAAAAACAAAAAACAAAAACATCTTTAGAGAGTTTTTCATTTGAGCGTGATTATTGTCCTCTCAGCTAACGGTACACAAGCTCCACTGTTTATGCCTCCTTGTCTCTGCTGAGTGTAAATGTCTTGCCATTTTGCTCCTTCGTGGCCTCGTGTTTGGCTGACCCACTTCCAGCCGAGCTGCAGTGCAGAGGGGTCCTGCAGGGGCCCAGGAAGGAGGCCACCCCCGGCCAGTTGCCTCTCTGCTCCGCGGAGGCCCGAGCCAGCCACGGTTCACAATGCTGCTCTGTTAGCACTCCAGTTGGCTGCTCCTCTCTTCCTGAGTCTCACAGTTGCCTGTCTATCCCCCTGCCAAGGCCCTGCACACTTGAGGTCAGTTTGGGAAACGTGTGGTGCCAATATGGCTTCTGATCAGACTCCTTTCAGTTTCTGTCTAGGCCTCCACTTTCACTTTGCTGGGCCCCTCGAAGTAAAAGCGTGGTGAAGTACTATAAACATATGTGTGAAGTGAACCACGGTCTTTACGCATTCTTTCTGCCTGTGGCTTGACTGAGATTACATTATTATTTTTTTGCGAAAGATACAAAGTTTGGTGGTTAAACACGGTGGGGGGGGGGGGAATAAAAAATCTTTCTTTCGCATGTTGGTTAAAAAGAAAGCAATGACAAACTGTGATATTGAACAATTTTCAAATTAGACAAAAATATTTAATTAAAACATTAAAACACTATTTTGTGATATTTCAGACATCAAGAAAAAAATCTTTTCAACTCTATATAACGTACATTGTAAACTGGTTTAAGCAGAAAACCATCTCCATCAATTGAAATATCGTGGAAATGTTCGTTTGTCACTAATTCAGCACAGTGATACTTTCAAATTGTGTAATTTCACACAGAGTAATATAATTAATATATTTTAGTGGAGAAATGTTAAGCTGTGGGACGACGGCTGACTTGTCCGTTGTCCAGTAGACATTCACAGATGCCACTTTATGTCAGTGGCGTTAAAAATTAACCGACGTCAATAAAGAACAAATTGTTAAAAAGCTGTGTTGAAGTTAGAAAACAGGCCAATTACATACCAGATTTATTGATTATATCAATAAAAATATTTCCATCAACCAGATAGTTTCACACAAGCTCAGCTTGCAAAACCCCAAGAAGTCAGTAAGTAATCTGAATGTCGCATTCGTGTGAGAATAACGCTTAAAGCTTTAGTTTTTTTTCCTGACTATAGTTGATGTTTCTTTAAATTAAAAATTGCACTTTTGCCTGAAGCCCAAGAACATAAATAAAAGGATTCACCAGAAATCTAGTGTAGAAAAGGAGCTACAAAGTAATATCTCCACCATACCGAAGGATAAATGATCTCCCTCAGACGTACTCTAATCATGTCCAGAAGCCCCTCTCCTGCCTCCTATTGGATGGCTCCCCGAGGCCTTCGTGCGATTTAAGATTCCTGCCATGATGAAATATGCAGGGGAACTAACAGGAGAGGTGCCATTGCCTACTTATTACAACCTGAGACAGACACTCTGTCAACCGCAGCCCACAGCCCTCACTGCTGGAAAAGCAAAAAACAAACACACAAAAAAAAGTTCAAGAGACAAAATGCTGCCCTGAATCCCTTGGGGACAGGAAATGTCTAGACTGAGATCCACAAAGAGCAAGTCTGAGCAAGAGATGAGAGTCTGAAAGAGGAATTAAAAAAAAAAAAACCTGGAGAAGAGTCAGTTGATCTGTCTGCAAACCCTGTTTGTCGTTACATAATTCAAATTCTTTCCTCTCCTGTTCAGACTTTCCTTTGCTTGGAGTGAGAACATTTTTTTTTTCTGTTTTACATAAAAGTGACTGTACGTCCTTTACAATTTATCAACAAAGAATAAATGAATGTGCACAGCTTTTAATTAAACTAAATTGTCAAAAATATTTACATTCCATCTTCTAAAGCAGAAGTCTTTCAGCAACCCATATTTGTCCCCTCTGACTTGCAAAGTTCCCTCAAGCCTTTGCCATTGCAACATCTCTTGTCCATAAACCTTCAGATTGTCCTGGACAGTAGCAAAGCCAGTCCAAAGCTTTAGTTTTCCTCTGATGAAGTTGTTTCTCTGCTGATTTGGAAGTATGCTTTGACTCTTTGTGATGTTGGAAAATATGTTTGTCTATTTTGATGGAAATACCCACAATCGTTGCAAGAAAAGCAACGAGTCATGAAGCTGCTACCATCTTTCACTCCGGGTGTGGTCTTCTTTTGATGAGCATTGCTTTTATGGCAAAAAAGTTCTAGTTTATCTTATTCAGACTAC